GCCGGGTGTGCCAGCCCATGACAGACGCTTACCAGACCGTCTATAAACATTTCTGGTTGGGAGTTCATTGTGAATCTGGCTGTGATCGTCGTCCTGACTGCGAAGTTAAATAATTCCTGCAGAGATGGGGGCGCTCTATAAATTCCTCCTGATCAGCCAGATCACATGGACAGGAAGGCTCGTCGCCGTACGAGGGTAAATAAGAGTGGTTGGGCTGGCTTGCTCGGTAACGACTTCGGCACAGGGGTGGGCCGAAATACACACGAAGACACTGCCTGCTCAATGATGTTGTCCGGTATGTTGGATTGAGGGGAGGGTAGGTTCTAATTAGTGCTCAACTGAATACACAACCATACCCACTCATCATACATCTGCTACATTGTCTTTTTGTACTTTTGATTAGTTGGTGGACGGACTGCTAACCTCACAGACAAATTAGATTAGGACTGTTGTATGCTACCATAGCCAGTTCTGTCTAATGCCGCTGTAAGTGAACCAATCAGAGTACATCTAGGCTATGTAGACGATCTGTGTGAATGTTGTAGTCATGCCACTTGATCGGTACAGTAGGGGACTTGCCGGACACAACTATTGTTAGAAAATTAGGTGCTGGTCATACATGCTGTGGTAGGATTCCACTAGGGGATTCTAGTGCAGACACTATCTGCCTAACTAATGAGTGGGTCAGACCCTGTTGATGATAGAGCTGACAATAGGAGACTAACACGTGCAGAGGCACTAAGGGTACCGCACGTGTTCCAGGCCCTACAACCGGGAGAAGAAAGACGGCTTATAGCCGAAAGTAGAGCCCGTGCACTAGCAGCAGCTAGGGCCACAGTAAACGCCGCAGCTAGGGAACAGGCTGCCGCAGCAGCCAGGGCATTAGAGATGTCTTCTGCAGCAGCAGCATCCTCAGTTGCGTCTTCATCTGCGACCAATGGGACCATGTTGGGAATGCCAACAAGTTCCACGGGCACTTCCAGTTCAATGGGTACTCGACAGTCTACTAGTCAAATGGCGGGCTCGCAGYTCAGCCCGTTGACCCCACGTGAGAGGGAGCTCAGAGAGATCCAACAGGTCGAGAGGCTCCRCCAGAAGTTAGAGGAGGACCTGAAAAAGGCAACCGAWAGGGAAAGAGARATAAAAAATAGAGCAGCCAGGCTTGATACTTTAGAGGCTGACAAGGCTGAGTTAGAGGGCTTGGACGAGTCAGCATTGACTGACCAAATGAAAGTACTGAAGAAGAATATGCTGTCGCTGCATGCGCACGTGGACAGCAGATTAGACTTCATGCACAACACTCTAGACCAGATCCTGGATGTATGCCGTTATCGGCGATGTCAGGCCCCTTTCCAGTTCAAGCTGGCACACAACCAAGTGGTACGTCTGCAACAGTCGCACAGACTGTTGCATCTTCTTCTTCGGGTCCAGCGGTGGGAACCTGTTCCTCAACAGGGACAGCAACGAGGTCAATGGTACCCCAAGACCCGAATGAAACCGCCTCTTGCCTTCTCAGGCGAGAGGAAGGACGAAGAACTCAACACATGGTTGAGGACAGTCCCGGTTTGGGTAAAGGCCAAGAAGACCTTGCTAGAGGATGAAGTGGTAACCGCTGCATCTTACCTCGAGGGTAAGGTAGCCAAGTGGCTAGATGGGGTAGTTGTAAAGGCCGGGTATGGGCGACGCATGGCGGACTGGGCTAAGTCTCTGACGTTAGACCAGTTCATGGAAATGGTAGAAGCTCGATGGCATAATCCACAGGAGGCACAAAGAGCCACTGATGCGATTAACAAGGTGGACCAACGAAAGTTCAAATCGGTCAGAGAGCTTACGACTACCGTTGAGAGCCTGATCCTCGTCCCAGGCATCATCTACAGTGACCAGTTCCTATTAACTACGTTTGTTAGATGTTTACCAGAGAACATCAGGAACTTACTGGCCAGCGAGGCACGCACTGAGTACCATTCGTTTGAGACACTGTCTAGGAAAGCCTTAGATTTGGAGGCCACGCTAGGCAATGCTCAACCAACCTCTCAGATTGACACGAGGAAGAAGAAGAGTCCTCAAAAGTGGAAGAAAAAGGGGGCTAAGTTGATGATGGTTGAGTCTGATGGGACTCAAACGGAGATCGACGAGCTCACTGACCTGATGGACTATACAAAGTTTGACGGCGAGGAGGTAGTTGAGGGTAGCACCCTCGCCGCGGTAGTCAAGACTAAGGCAGGTGGCCGAGGGAAGGGCCAACCAAGGAGTCAAGGAAAGGCCGCCTCCAATCAGACCAAGCAGGCTGAATGGGTGAAGGCAGGTCTCGACCAAGACGTGTGGCGTGACCGCCGAGTGCGTGGCGCTTGTATCAATTGCGGGGAATACGGACACTCGCAATACAAGTGCTAGAACGCAAAGGTTACGCAAAAGATACCTCCAAAGATGGGGGCATCTTATTCCCAGGCTTCAAGCTCGGGAAACGCGTGAGGCCAGTGGAAGTTTTAGCGGCTTCTACTCAAGATGACGTGGGCTTGATACCCTCCCCACTTCATGACAAGGYCGAAGCTAATGACTCCTTAGCCACCCCGCAGACACATCTARACCAAACTRTGCTYTGTACGTTTGATGTGTCTGAGGCCTTAGAAGACTTAGAAGGTGAGTGGTCAAACAAGGACCCTCGCGAGTCTTGGGTGGCACTGAAGAAAGGTCCTGGAGGGGAACATTTCGTGGTGGAAGTGGATGTAGGAGGCCGCAAATGTGGTGCCTTCATAGACATCGGATCCACACGGAATTACATAAGTCGCGACTGTATGGAAAGGCTGCACCTACAGGACCGGGTACGGCACCTTAGTAGACCTGTAGCATCTACTTTGGCCAACAAGGAGCGCATGATCGTAACAGACTACATCAAGGACGTAGTCTGTACCTTTTCCTATAGAGGAGGCGAACTTAACCATAAGATCTCGTTCTTGGTTAGCGACGACTTACCATTCGACATGTTATTAGGCATGTACTACCTCGAAGTTGCTAAGCCTCAGTTTGATTGGGATAAGAAGGTGCTCAAGCATAAGTTGCCCGATGGCCGAACTGTCAGATTGACTAATGCTAAGCCCCAGTTTGATTGGGATAAGAAGGTGCTCAAGCATAAGTTGCCCGATGGCCGAACTGTCAGATTGACTAAGTTCAAGGCCAGTAGCATTATAGATACTTATGGCTGCTTGTGCGCATCAGCGTTCTACAATTATTATAAGCAAAACGAAGAGGAGGGTATGTACCTTGTGTATGTCTCTGAGAAAGGGGAGGCCGTTAAAACACCCCAGAGATAGAACGAGTCGTTGCTAAGATCCCTGATCTGTTCGAGGAGCCCACAGGAGTTGTTGAAAGGGAAGTCCGCCACGCTATAGAAATCATTCCAATGAGTAAGACCCCAAAGGGAAGGATCTATAGGATGGCCCCCGCCGAGTTAGATGAACTTCGGCGACACGGATCACCCGTTCTATTCGTACCAAAGAAGGGGGGTACTTTGAGGATGTGCATTGACTATAAAGGCCTCAATGCCATCACAGTGAAAAACGCAGAGCCTCTACCTCGCATAGACGACCTATTGGATAGGGTGCAGGGATGCAAGTACTATAGCAAGATAGACTTGAAATCCGGCTATCATCAGATCGCTATAAGGCCAGAGGACCAACACAAGACAACTTTTCAGACTCGTTATGGTCTGTATGAGTTTGTAGTGATGCCTTTTGGTCTTTGTAACGCGTCGGGAACATTCCAGCACGCTATGAATCGGATCTTCCATGACCATTTAGATAAGTTTGTCGTGGTCTATTTTGACGACATTCTGATCTTTAGTAAGTCTGCCGAGGAGCACGCACAACATGTTGAGAAGGTACTCTCACTCCTGCGACAGCACAAGTATAAGGTCAACTTAGAGAAGTGCGAGTTTGGCCGCACTAAGATACTATACTTGGGTCATGAAGTATCCGCGGAGGGGATAAGGCCGGAAGATGTGAAGGTGGCTAGTATTCGAGACTGGCCACGACCTCAGACAGTCACTGAGGTCAGATCATTCTTAGGAATGTGCGGCTACTATAGGAACTTCGTAAAGAACTATTCTACAGTCGCCTCTCCTTTGACTGATCTAACTCGACTTGACACACCGTAGGACTGGAGTGATGAGTGCGAGGGTGCTTTCAAGAGATTGAAGCATGCACTTATGAATCATGAGATCCTCATGGTTCCTGATCCTCAGAAGCCATTCATAGTGACCACTGACGCAAGCCAATACGGCATTGGCGCAGTGCTGGCTCAACAGGATGGGAAGAAGTTGAGACCAATTGAGTACACGAGCAAGAAGATGCCATCGAAGAAGTTGGCAAAGTCCACCTACGAAAGGGAACTCTATGCTTTATACAAAGCACTTGTCCATTGGAGACACTTCCTATTGGGAAGGTTCTTCTACTTGAGGA